TAGAGGACACAGTAAGAAGTTATCTACCTGCAAGCCAGAAATGAAAATTTCCAGAAACTTGATCTTGGATTTCTAGTCTCCAGAATAGAACATTAATCTCTGTTGTTTAAAGCCACCAACCTATAGTATTTTATTGTGGCAGTCCAAGCAAACTAATAATTTCAGTATGGTTTCTGAATTTAGCCAGACCCAATTTAGCCAGACCCTGCCTCAAACTATTCTTCAGTCTTGCTAAAATTCTATAATATATTTGTAAAGAGTTAGGAAAAAAACTAAAATTCTCTATTAAAATTTTTTTTAAAAAACCCTTTTTTGACCAATCAAAGCCAACCCAAGCAACAAAGCAAGACACCCACTTCAACAACAACAAAAATAAACCTCAAACTCCAACTATTTTTTCTTTCCTTTTTTTTTTTTTTGGTGTGTGTGTATGTGCGTATGTGTATGGTACTGGGGATTGAACCCAGGAATATTCTGCCACCAAGCTACACTCTCAGTTCTTCTTATTTGAGACAAGGTCTTCCTAAATTACACAGGTGCTAGGATTACAGGCATATGCCATGGTGCTTGGCTGTAATAATTTTCACTACTGATGGTTAATATGTACCATAAAAATGTAAGGAAGGAGACTGGGGTGCATCTTAGTGATGGAGCACAAGTGCAAGTCCCTGAGTTTAATCCCTAGCACCAAAAACCTAAAAAAGGAAGATACGATACAATTTATTTTAGTTTAATTACAGAAAATAAATTGAGCCTATTTCATTTTGGTGTTTTATGCTTATATGCTGACTAGGTGCTACCAATAATTATATTGCTCTTTTTCTGTCTATATTCTTATCTATAAAATTAGAGGGAATTGGAACAATATACAGAAAGACTCTCTACAATGCAGGTTTATGACAATTTTTAAATATATATGTATATTAGTTATACATGGACATGATACCTTTATTTATTTATTTGTTTGCTTGTTTATTTATTTATTTATTTTTATGTTGTGCTGAGGATCAAACTCAATGCCTCACATGTGCTAGGCAAGTGCTCTACCACTGCACTACAACCCCAGCCTTTATGATAATTTTTAAGGAATGGATAATTTTGGTAAAAATTTACAAACCACTAATAACCTTAGCTTATTTGTAGTTCAATTATGATGAATAAAATGTGCTGGGCAATACCATGCCTATAATTCTGGCTCTTTGGGAGGCTGAAGCAGGATGATCACAAGTTCAAGACCAGCCTGGGCAATTTAGCCAGACCCTGCCTCAAAAGAAAAAATAAAAAAGGGCTGAGGATGCTCAGTGGGAGGGTACCTGCCTAGTATGCGTAATGCCCTGGGTTCAACCCCCAGGAATGAGAGAGATGAGGCCTGCAATACATAGGAATGTCTATAGTACACAGAAATAGTTCATATATGCAATAGTGATTTACTGATAAAGTCAGTATCAAAACACTGTGAGATAAATTTGTGTTCAGCAAATACTATTTTTCTTTCCCTTCTAAATTACTCTTCTTCATTTCCAATACCTATTCCCAAGGCATTTGCAAGCTGCCCTCAACTGCTCAATTTCCACTACAACACTCTGAGAAAAAGAGTTTCTTTACACCTCACATGGAAACCTACTGACAGCATAGTTTTTTTTTTTCTCCAACACTATAGAGTTCTCACCAGCTATGCAACCTATCATTTGATTCATTTCAATTCTGAAATGAATCAAACTCCAGAAGTTATAGTTTTAGTACCATAAAACTGTTCCCACTCCAAAAGCCAATTTCAGGGTCAAGTCTGCTAAACCTTTTTTTTTTTTTTATGGTATTGGAGATTGAATCCAGGGGTGCTATACCACTGAGCTACATCCTTAGCTCTTTTTATTTTTAACTTTGAGACAGGATCTCACTAAATTACTAAAATTAGCCTAGAATTTATGAATATTCTGCCTCAGCTTCCAAAGCAGCTAGAATTATAGGCAGCACCACTGTGCTCTGCAAATTCCAAGATTTTTGAGATCATTTAGTCAGGAACTGGGGATAAAAGCCAAATATCCTTATTATAACATAATCATATTGATAGGCTGAATATTCCTTTTTATTTCCTACTAAGAAATTTCTAGTTAGATCTATTGTATTAGAACCATTAAGATTACAAATAATTGTGTAAAGTCACTCATGTAGCACTCATATCTTAGCCTCTTTTAATTTAACCTAAAATGAGATAGAAATTTATGGACAGAGAACACTGAGACTCTAATGAAAAAATATCCCTATTACATACAGAACAAATAACTTGTAGACAACTCATAAGCTGGACAAAAAAAAATAAGGGACAGAAAAGGACCAGAAGATAAGGATGCACCAAACAGCTCATAAATTACTTTGTAACTTTCCAATTCCCTGTAGTTTTCTGGAATGTAGCAAAATGAGAATAGGAAGGCAATAGACAAGAGAACATTAACCTAGTGTGGCTAGAGGCTAACATTTGATTGCTCTGGGCAAATCACCTAACTACCTGAGATGCTGCTGTTTAGCTGAAGCCTACACATCAGACCCCCTAATGAGAAAACACAATCTTACTCAGTATTTCCCAATCCCCAGGAAGTCCAGCCCCTTGGGATCATACATATTGCACATAATTAGGTACTATAATAAAAGCCTGACCTCAATTCCTGGTAGTGCATCTCACTTTTTAGATTGCCCACACTCTGCTTTAAGAATATATTTGCTCCCATTATAATAAATCTTTCACTCTGCTACTCATACCTGATAGGGCCTTAAATTATTTTCTGTGATATGGTCAAGAACCTTTTTTGGATAATGATATCCATCACAATCCACAAACCTCAAAGTCCAAGTAGAGGTCTCTACCTCTGGAAAGACCTCCTTGGACTTCCACATGGGGACAAAATGGGTGATAGACTCACATTTCAAAAACAGTTTATTTAGGAATAACAAGGGATTGCAATCCAGGATGTGCATGCATGTGCATATCTAGGGAGGCAAAGGAAGGCAAGAATTTTTAAAGGTAAAATGAAGAAGTGACATTAGTAGTTTTGAAACAATTATTCTTCATTACAAGGATTAATAAGGGTGGCATCAGTCCATTACCAGAACAGGAAGTTGATAGGTAAGCAAGATGGTTGTTTTGAGGGCCTATCCTTCATGGATTTCCAGCTCCATTTGTTAGGGTTTCACATAAGTGTTTCCATTTTAGTATTAGAAACTTTCACACACTGGTTAAGAATTTGTAATAACAAGCCAGGTGCAGTGACCACTCCTGAAATGCCAGCTATTCAGGAGGCTGAGGCAGAAGGATCTAGACTAGTCTGGGCAACTTATTAAGACACTGTCTCAAATTTATTTTTAATTTTTAAAAAGTGGGGGCTGGGCAATATGGAAAGCAGTATGGAGATTCCTTGGAAAACTGGGAATGGAACCACCATTTAACCCAGCTCTCCCTCTCCTCAGTCTATACCCAAAGGACTTAAAAACAGCATACTACAGGGACACAGCCACATCAGTGTTTATAGCAGCACAATTCACAATAGCTAAACTGTGGAACCAACCTAAATGCCCTTCAGTTGATGAATGGATTAAAAATGTGGCATATATATACACAATGGAATATTACTCAACAATAAAAGAGAATAAAGTCATGTATGGCATTTGCAGGTAAATGGATGCAGTTGGAGAAGATAATGCTATGTAAAGTTAGCCAATCCCCAAAAAACAAATGGCAAATGTTTTCTCTGATATAAGGTGACTGACTCATAGTGGGGTAGGGAGAGGGAGTATGGGAGGAATAGACGAATTCTCGATAGGGCAGAGGGGTGGGAGGGCGGGGTAGGGGGCAGGGGATTAGCAATGATGGTAGAATGTGATGGACATCATTATCCAAAGTACATCTATGAAGACATGAATTGGTGTGAACATACTTTATATACAAACAGAGATATGAAAAATTGTGTATATGTGTAATAAGAATTGTGGGGCTGGGGTTGTGGCTCGGTAGAGTGCAAGGCAAGCACATGCGAGACCCTGGGTTCGATCCTCAGCACCACATAAAAATAAATAAACAAAATAAAGATATTGTGTAGAATTAAAAATAAATACTAAAAAAAATAATTTTGATATATTCCACTGTCATGTATTTAAAAAATAAAAGCAGTTAAAAAAAAAAAAGTGGGGCTGGGGATGTAGATCAGTGGTAGAACACTTGTCTAATATCTACAAGGCCCTAGGTTCAATCCCCAGTCAATGGGAAAAAATAAAAAAGAAAAAAATATTTGTAATAATAAAAAATATTTGAATATTATAAAGCTTCTTACAAAACTTTTATAATATTTATATTATTATAATAACGTTCACTTATGATAACTATTACTTTCATTTTGCCCATGAGGAGACTGAAATATAAAGACATAAAGTTCCTTGATAATGGATAAATTATGCTGAATTACATGAAGCTACATTTTTGTAGTCAAAACAAATATTGATAATCTCACAAGTTTTAGCCTAAAAGTGAACTGAAATCAAGATTTCTGATGTGAAATGGAATATCAATCATAAAGCAAGTGTGTTTCATAGATGGCTATTTCTCAGGAAACTTCAAAGTATATAATTATAAGAGGACTTTTAATTCTTAATATAAAATATTTTTGATGCTTAGAGCTCAGGTTTTATATATATAATTTGAGAAATAAATATGGAAAATTACAACATTCTCTGGTAATCTACGAATTGTCACATACAGTCCCAGCCAACAGTGGAAAAGGAATAAAAGCTTTCCACAACTAGCAGTAAGCTAAAATAAAAAAAAAATGTACGCTTTTATTTTTTACCTGATAACAAATGAAACTGAATAAAAAATGTAGAAAATGAGCATTATTGGGAGGGAGGGAGGGGGATCAGATATTTTTATTCTATACATCACCTTTTCAAGGCTATTTCCATCCAGAATAGCCTTGGTTTGCCAGGGCCAATAGAAAGAAGTCACAAAGTCACCTTTAGTCAAATTTGCGTGCTTGCTTAATTCTATAATTCCAACACCTCCACCATCCACCACCTGAGACAGCTGCCAAGGTGCTATATAATCAGTACCAGTGTCTTCATTCATCCTACAACGCTGAAAAAAAGAAGGCACTAATTAAGATAATTCTGTTAAATAATACTGAGCCAGAGTTTACTAATTTACCCAATGACTAAAGGTATATGATAAGTAATATTTAATAAAGTGTTAGTCAAATAAATAAAAATAATATGTATTAATTTTCCCTTCATTTTGGTTATTTTTTATTTTGAAAAAAATGCACTTCTTCAATACACATAAGAGTGTAATTAAAAAGGCTTTTAAGTATGTTCTAAAAATAGATCATAATAATCAAAACAGCATGGCACTTGCATCTAAAAGACAGGTACACTGACAAATGGAACAGAGTACAGAGTCCAGAAAGAAATCCATGCATTATGCATACACGACTAGTGTAACTGCACATTCATGTACAATCACAAGAATGAGAAGTTATATTCTATGTATGAATAATCTGTCAAAATATATTCTATTGTCATATACAATTAAAAAGAACAAATATTTTTTTTAAATCCATGCATTTACAATTGATTTGGGGAGGGGGGTACTGGGAATTGAATGCAAGGGTACTTTACCACTGAGCTATATCCTCAGTCCTTTTTATTTTTTAATTTGAGACAGGATTTCACTAAGTTACTGAGGCTGGCCTCAAAGTTGTGATTCTCCTGTCTCAGCCTCCTGAGTCACTGGGATTATAGGCATGTGCTTCCATGAATGCCTGGCTATAATTGATTTTTGACAAAAATGCCAACAACACACAATGGGAAAAATAATACTTCAATAAATGATATAGGAGAAAATGAAAAAATCCACATGCAGAAGAATGAAATTAGACTTACCCTATATACAAAAATCAATTCAAAATGGATTTTAAAATTAAGCGTAAGATGTGAAACAAGCCAAGCATGATGGCACATACCTGTAATCTCAGGTACTTGGAGGCTGAGGCCAGAGGATACCCAAGTTTGAGGCCAGCCTCAGCAACTGAGTGACACCTGTCTCAAAATAAAAAAGCTGGGGGTGGGGGTGCTGGGGGTTGTGGCTCAGCAGTAGAACACTCACCTAGCACGTGTGAGATGCTGGGTTTGATCCTCAGCACCACATAATAAATAAATAAAATTAGATTGTGGTGTTAATTGTGAAACTCTATAAATGATACGAAAAATCATTGACAAATGAAACTGAATAACAAATGTAGAAAATGAGCATTATTGGGAGGTGTACACTTTTAATACTTTAAGTGTGATATGTCAATTGTATTTCAATAAAACTTTAAAAAATTAAGGAAATTTAAGTAGTAGTACATGCATTGTGGTAGCAAAAGTAATACAAAATACTGTTTTGATTCTTTCAATGGACTATGGCATTTTAGATACACTTAAATGTTACCAATGATTTTTTTAAACTGTTTACTTTGTATGGAAGCAAACTAGCAACATATGTGTAACATTGTCCCCTCTTTTGGGAAGTGTCCTTGGCAAAGTTACTTTAGCTTCCCTTCCTTTGTCTGTACTAAATTCTAAAGAAAATCCACACCTAAATGATTAAGATGTTGCCTACTAAATAATTTTTCTTTGGATTTATAAAACCAAAACATTTGGTTAACTTCAGATTATATTGGAATATGGAACTCTCCTCCTTATTCTTTAGTTTGGTGCATCAACTAACACAAAGCAGGTACATTTGCAGTAAGGTTAAGCCTGCTGTTTATCTGAAGAAACTAGACCCAGTAAGTCAAGGTTGTTTTATTTGTTTGGTTGGCTGGTTTTGGTTTTGGTTTTGTCAAGGGTGATTTTGATGTTCTGGCCAAAGTAGGGCAGTGGGGGGTGGGGGTGGGGGCCAGTGAGCAAACACACACCCTTGTTGATAAAGATCCCACCCAACATGCAGTATTCATGTACATCATCCCACTTTTCCTCCCTCTTTCCCCATAAGTCCTTTTGTGTACTTGAGTTCCCTAAGATCTTTTTTGTGGGGACAGGATAGATCCCCCCACTTTCATGGTGCTAGCTTTTGAGTACACCTGATTTCTTTCCCACCAAATCTCAGCTCCCGTGTATTGGCTTTTGAGTGTCAAGCAGATGGACTTGGGCATGACTTGGGCATGATAACATATACAGACCATAAACTCTTCATTTCTTTTGGCCTAGCAATTCTGCCTCCTCCACACAAATAACCTAAAAGAAACAATTTGTATACAATTGTTTCTAACAACTTCAGACCAGGTACTTTTCCAACATTATGTTCACCATCCTCATATGGATGGCCTTTTAATCCACAAGGGACAAAATGTTACAGTGGGACCACATTCTGTCACAGTGGGGGTAAAAACTCCTCTGGCAAGCAGTTAAGACTTTTCCTCTTTGTGGCTCACTCTGTCTCTCAACTGAAGTATATAATGTTGAGGCCCACAGTGTGGCCAGGAGATGGAAAATATGGAAGGCTGCTTGAATAAGGGGCCCCATGTGGTATAGTTCAGTTTATTAGGGGAAAAGACCAAATACAGAATTCACACAGAAGTCTCTATACAATAAAATATACTTCTGCTTGCATGCTACCTCTTATGTATTTCTGGAAAACAGGTACAATAATCATAGGACACTGGTTAGACAAAGGGCCTGACACAGCTAATAGAAAAATTTGAGGGAAAAACAGGGTTTATCCTACTCTCACTTGCTGACTAGATAGGTCAGGAGATTAAGACATTAGCACTGGGCCCCATAAAGGATTCTCTAAAGATCACTCCGTGAAATTAGAAACATTCTGTAGAAACATTCCAAACATTTCAGCCAACTCCTTTATCCACTAGTGTAGGAAAAGGGGAGTAGGATGGACCTGAGTGAAAGCTACACATTCAGGGACTAAAAGGACACAATCAGAAGGTCATGGGCATTTTTCTAATACCTGGTTATCACAGATAGTGATCAACGTCTCTACCTAGTAGCTATATAAGCCCCTAGACTAGTACACTTCGGTGGCAACCTGCTATGGTCTGGGTTCCCCTCTCACCTGGCAAGAGCTTTTTCTTTTCTTCTCATGTGACTAAATAAATTCTACTCTTTCACTCTCATTCTCTGTTGTCCATAGATTTCATTCTTCAAATTCACAAGAACCTGGAAAGAAGCTGCTGGCAGGTCGCTAGGGTCTGGGGTCTGCAATACTAAGCTGGCGCAGCCTGCTATGGAGAGCTGTAACCCAGCCAGATCCCATTAATGATGCTGAAAACTCCAGCCCTGTCTGCTGAGACCAGCCACTGACACTGGTGGGCACCTGCTGCTGTGAATAACTGTGCCTCTGCCACAGAGGACTGTGACCCCACCTGCAATTGCAGCAACAGAGACAGAGAATCTGGTGTCATCTCTAACTCCAGTTTCATTACTACTGTAAGCAACATCTAATACCATACAATTTCCCCACCTAATAACTAAGCAGTCTACAGGGGCATCAGCTAGGTGTCTTAATTCAATTTAAATCTGATATTATCTAGCTGGAAACAGTGTCAAGTCCCATAATTTAAGGGCTCAGTCCCACAAAACTGCTCCACACTTCAGATACCAATCTCAGGCCTTAGATTGTGGTCTAGGCCTCTGATTAACCAGCTGTTAAGTCAGGGTTCCAACAACTTTCTCCTTGGGTTTGATTAATTTTCTAAACTGGTTCACAGAATTCATAGAAAAACTTCATTTGCATTTACCTGTTTATTATAAAGGTTATTATACAGAACAGCTAAATGAAAGAGATACATGAGCCAAGGCATATGGGAAGTGGAATATAGCACTTCCATGCCCTCTCTGAATGTGCTACCATCCAAGAATTCCACATGTTCAGCTATGTGGAAGCTCCCTAAACCTAGGCCTTTTGGGTTTTTATGCACATTTCACTGTATAAGCATGACTGATTAAATCATTAGCCAATGATGATCAACTTAATATTCAGCTCTGGGCAGTCCTCTTCAAGGAGGTTGGGAGGTGGAAATAAAAGTTTCAAACCTCTAATCATGGGTCTGGGGTTGTAGCTCAGTGGTAGAACACCTGCCTCATATGCATGAGGCACTGGGTATTATCCTTAGCACCACATAAAAATAAATAAATAAATATATTAGGTCCACCTGCAACTAAAAAAATATATTAAAAAAAAAAAAAACCCCGCTAATCATATGGTTGGTTCTTCTGGCAACTAGCCCCAACCCTAAGACTATCCAGGAGCTGCCCCAGGCATCAAAATATGTATTAACATACAAAAAGACACATTGCTTTGGAAATTCCAAGGGTTTTAGGAGTCATGTACTAGTAAACTGAGAGGAAGATCAAGTATCTCAATATAAATCACAATATCACACAAGTAATTACTTATAAGTAAAAAACAAGTCAATACAATAGAACATCATGCAGCCAACAAAATAACCACATCTGATCTAGTTTTTAATATGGAGATGTGCATATACAGTCACTTAAACATATAAAAGCAAAGCCAAGTGTGCTACTACATGACTATAGTTCCAGGTACTTGGGAGGCTGAGGTGGGAGGAGGTCTGGAGTCCAAAATTTCTAGCCAGCCTGCTCAACATAGGGAAAGTCTGCCTTGAAAAGAGCGGTGGAGAAAGAGAGATTAGGGCTTGTGATATGGCTCAGTGACAAGACACTTGCCTAGCATGCATAAGGCCCTGTGTGTGATCTTCAGTTTTGAGGAGGGAATAAAAAAGGAATATGAAAACAAAATTGTGTGTGTTTGTGTATGTCTTCATGTAAAATACTGTATACACAAGGTGATTAAAATTAACCATAAATTTGAGCCAGGTGCAGAGGCACAAATCTATAACCTAGGATGAAGCAGAATTCCTTGCATCCAGGAATTCGGGCCAGCTCTGGTAACATATCAAGATTGTGTCTCTTTAAAACATAAATACCAGTATAAACCTGTAATCCCGGCTACTTGAGAAGCTGAGGCAGAAGAATACCAAGTTCAAGGGCAATTTAGCAAGACTCTGTCTCAAAATAAAAAGGGCTAGGGATATAGCTGTGAGGTAGAACATTCCT